TGCAAACTGTGCCCCCAAAAAATGTGAAATTATGCGATTCTGTCAATTTTAACAAAGAATGGTAAAGAAAAATAATAAGAAATTATGCAAAAAATATTCAAATTTTGCTAAATTATGCGGGGTGCATAAAACCAGATCGACAGAATTTATGCTTCTGGTTTTCTACTCATGTCTCTGCCCTCCATATATTGTATTTTGCTTCTTTCTCCACAGAATCCTCTTGACGATCTTGTCTCTGCCTGAGATCAGTCAAACAAACAAACAAACAAACAGACAAACAAAAAACCATGTCGATGTTCACGAAGGACGAGGCTCTCTCCTTCCTCAAAAACAACTTGAAAGTGCGGGATGTGGAGAAAAGACTGGAGACTGACCGCCGGTCACTTCTGGATGACTTTGTGGTGGCCATGCAGACACAGTTGGTCTTCCAGAACTTGAGACTGCTCAGTGTGCCCAAGGCCCAGCGGTGAGACAGTAGATGATTATTATACAAGACAGTTGATTATTATACGAGACAGTAGATAATTATACGAGACAGTAGATAATTATATGAGACAATAGATGAGACAGTTGATGATTATACAAGACAGTAGATGATTATACACGACAGTAAATGATTATACAAGACAGCAGATGATTATACAGGACAGTAGATGATTATAATACAAGACAGTTGATGATGATTATACAGAACAGTAGATGATTATACAAGACAGTAGATGATTATACAAGACAGTAGAAGATTATACAAGACAGTTGATGATTATACAATAGAAATAGATGATTATACAAGACAGTGTACAAAACAGTAGATGATTATACAAGGCAGTAGATGGTTAGACAGGACAGTAGATGATGATACAGGACAGTAGATGATTATGTACAAGACGGTAGATGATTATACAGGACAGTAGATGATTATGTACAAGACAGTAGATGGTTATGTACAAGACAGTAGATGGTTATATTAGACAGTATACAAAACAGCAGATGATTATACAAGACAGTATACAAAACAGTAGATGATTGTACAAGACAGTAGATGATTATGTACAAGACAGTAGATGATTATACATGACAGCAGATGATTATACAGGACAGTAAATGATTAAGTGAGAAGATTGGGGATTATAAGCTTATGAGAAGGTTGATAATTAAGTAAGAGGATGTATGATTATGTGAGAAGATGGGGATTATATGAGAAGGTTGATAATTATGTGAGAAGATAGATAATTATGTGAGAAGGTTGATAATTATGTGAGAAGATAGATAATTATGTGAGAAGAGATGATTATGTGAGAAGGTTGATAATTATGTGAGAAGATAAATGATTATGTGAGAAGATTTAGGATTATTTATACATATGTATATGTCATTTTTTTCTGGTCCCGATAATGTCGTTACAGAGAGGCTGCACTGTATTTTGACTTTTCATTTGAAAGTTATGCTGTTATTGTATGATCCTCAGGCGTCGACAGACAGTGGAAGAAATCAAGTCCGACCTCCTGTCGGGAGTGGGCGGTCTGTGCTACAACCTGAACGTCTCGGCCTTTTTCTTGCTCCAGGCCCTGGGCTACAGGGCCAGCATGGTGCACGCCACCTGCACCTCCAGCGTACTCTTCCCAGACAATCACGTGGTCGTTTACGTCTGTGACGTGGCCACGCCCGGCGACAAGTTCCTGGTGGAGGTCGGGTTCGGATTCCCGACGTACCGCGCCATAAGTCTCGACTTTGAGAAAGAGTCCCCGGAATACATTGACTCGTTCATCGAGTATAAATACATACGACATGAGGGGAAAGTTCTGCGCATGCACCGGAAAGGCTGTCCCATCAGGGCTATGGGGAAGAAGAATCCGCTGGTGGATTTTGTGGTCGGTGATTGGAGACGGTTTTATTTGGTGGAGCCGGAGAGCACCACACAGCTAGCAGAGTTTGACGAAGACTTTGACCAAGTCTTTCAAAATCCTGCTGCCTCGCCATTTCATGGGTCTTTCCGTGTGATTGGTTTTCCCAACCGGAAGGCGGTCATGGTCGTCAATCAGAAGACAATGATTGAAGATGATAAAGGTATGGAGATTTTAATAAAAATCTGTATCAATAGTTTTTGGCCTAAACGAACTAGATTCTAAGTCTGTGCAAGCTAATTTTTTTTCAGGATAATGAGCCTAACATAAAAAAAAAAAAGAAATGAAGTAAAAGGTCTGGATCTATGAATGCTGTATTCTCCAGGTTTTTCATACATGTTTGAAGGACATGAAGTTGATAAAGCAATGAGTCTTGATTTATTTTTAATAAATACCCTACTTTGGCAGGGTTCCCACAAATATTGGGTCACCCTGTGAAAATATATTATACGGCATGTGCAGTCTACATATGTGTCACTATGCCATGTGGTGGAATCAAGCGCTTGTCAATTTTTGGACATTTGAATTTATTGATACAATCTTAAAGTTAAAGTTTGTTCGTTTGTCTTGCTTTCAGTGAAAAAAAATACTATAATACATGTAGTAATTATAATTATGATCATCATCATCATGGTCCTCATCGTTATAATAATAATAACTCTTTTCTTTCCCTCTGATATTCCTGTCTGTCTATCTTGTTCTTATCCCTGCACTGAATGTCTTTTATTATATATGGATGTGCCTTTCTTTATCCTAACTCTATTAAAATAAGTTCTCTTTGCGATCTTATCAGAAGATTTAACACTTTCAATACGAAATTATATTTTGGAGATTTCGCCCTGTCACGGAGTAACCAATGTGTTCAAGAGATTGAACCTTTTCTTTTCGGCACTCATATGACCTTATGCAGTTGCGAGTGCCGTAAAACCTCTACTAAAACAAACATAAACCTTTTCTTTTTTAATCAATATCTTCTGGGTAGTTGCATAAACTTTATCCAGTTAATCATTTTAATTTTGCTATTTCTTCACAAAAGACTTAGCAGCCCTTTGGCTATAATTCATATTTTCACAAAAGACATAACCCGTTCATTTTGTTATAATTCATATTTTCACAAAAGACATAACCCGTTCATTTTGTTATAATTCATATTTTCACAAAAGACATAACCCGTTCATTTTGATATAATTCATATTTTCGCAAAAGACATAACCCGTCCATTTTGTTATAATTCATATTTTCACAAAAGACGTAACCTGTTCATTTTGTTATAATTCATATTTTCACGAAAGACATAACCCGTTCATTTTGTTATAATTCATTTTTTCACAAAAGACATAACCTGTTTACTTTGTTATTGTTATAACTCCTATTCTTTTCACAAAAGACATTACCAGTTTATTTTGTTTTCGCAGGAGATCTACAAGTTTCAGCAATAGAAGGTGGTGACGATGGCGTAGTGGCGAAGGTGAAGGAACTGTTTCCTGTCCTGCCTGATCAGCTGGTACAGGACGCAATGACCAACTTCAGAGCATCCTCATAACTGGGCACTGTCTGATTTATATATATATATGTGTCTCGACGCGGTGGAATCAGGCGCTGGTCATTTTTTGTGCATGTAGAGTTATTGGTATCATCTTAAAGCTTGTTCTATTATCTTGCTTTGTATGAAAAAAATACCCATCTATCTTGAACAGAAGTGAAGATATTTGTGATTGAAAGAGCTAAGTTCACTTGGTTTCAGCGGTGAAAATAGCGAGAAGATGGCCGCCAAAGTTTGGTAACTTCTATAGCTAAAGAGTCCTTGATAACTGAAAAATTACATATTTTGAGCTTTTAGAAAAAAGTTTTTCAATATAATTCACACGGAAATGTGTTTTTATTTGGACATAGAAGGTTTTAAAAAAATAAAAATTTTGATTTAAATTGCGAAACTGGTGGGAAAATACCTCTTCCTCCAATTTTGTTATTTTGACGAGCGCCTGATTTCACCACGATGCCTCACATATATAAACTAGTCAACAAAAATTAAGGAACATTTGAGAAAAAGTGTATAACTTCGAAAGCAAACTTCAACACGCAATGAAATTTGGTACACATTTTAATCAACATGTGTATAGCAAGTACCAAAAAAGAAAATTAAGTTATTCCATTTTAACTTGCTTGAAAAATTAATTGAGTTTGGTAGGGGTTAAAATTCCAAATCCCAAAAATGGTCAAGCGGTTTCGAAGTTATTTTAACTTCTGACTGCAACAAAAACAAAACAGTTCAGATGATTTCAATAATGAGTATGCCCACCACGATTGTCCTGGCACTCAGTACAACGGCTCCTCATCGAGTTCATGAGGTTGGTGAACACTCTCTGAGGCGTCCCCTGCCACTCTGCTTACAGCATCTGAAACAGTTGCTGCGCGTCTCCTAGAGCGGGGTGGTTGTCTCTGACTCGACGTTGCAGCTCATCCCAGAGGTTTTCTATGGGATTCATGTCCGGACTGCAGGCCGGCCAGTCCATTCGGTTGATGCCAGCCTGCTGCATGAAGTTTTGGACAAGCAACGCTCTATGAGGTCGGGCGTTGTCATCCTGGTACACCGCGTGGGGTCCCATCTGCTGCAGAGTAAGAAGTGCTAATGGACGGAGTATCTCATCTCGGTAACGTATTGCAGTGAGATTCCCTTGCACTTGGTACAGAGGTGTTCTGTGGTTCAGACTGAAAGCACCCCATACCATCACGGAACCACCTCCAAAAGGCATCACTTCTCTGACGGCTTCATCGAGGAGCCGCTCTCCGGGTCGCCTCCAAACCCTGATACGGCCGCCATTGTGATGCAAAGAGAACCGGGACTCGTCGTTGAAGAGAACGTTTGCCCACTGTTGACATGTCCATCTTACTTGGCGTCGCCAAGAGGCAAGACGAGCAGCCCTGTGTGCTGGGGTGAGACGCTGGCGGACTGCTGGTCGACGTGCATTAAGTCCAAACTCATGAAGACGTCTTCGTACTGTCTGACGACTAATGTTAACACGAGTTGCCGATCTCAGCCGTGTCCGGATGCGATTTTCTGGAGCAGATCTCCACTGCGGAGCCTGTTTATGAATCATTGAATGAATCGGTCTTCCCTTGCATTAGTGACTATTGGTCGACCTGATCAGGGTCGCTCTTGGGCACTACCTGTGGCGTTGGCACGCTGAATCAGCCGTGAAATTACAGAAACGGACACTCGAGGACGTGTAGCAACTTGTCGGAGTGAAACACTATCTTGTACCCAAGCAATGGCTCGTCCTCTGTTTACATCAGACAATTTCTGTCAAGGAGGCATGTTTACGCTTAGCCCTACAGCAGCAGAATGGGGTATCCACAGTGCAAATGAGTGTGTGCAAGTCACTCACGAGAAATGAATCTTGCAATTGAAAACTGATTTTTGAGCGTTCATAATTTTTTTCTGACGGTAAGAGCTAGAGAATAAAAATCGATAATTGGAAAACATTGGACCTTTTTGCCCCCTTCCCAGCTCATCGCACAGGAGTCACGTGCACTTCAAACCCTGGTGTGTACAAGCCCATTAGTCATAGAGTAATATTTCACCAATATCTAGTTTTTCGAGTAAAAGTAAAACCTCGAAAGAATGCATACAAATATATCACTCTTTTTACAGTACGTTCCTTAACTTTTGTTGACTAGTTTATATAGAAACCGGTTGTGGATGGATGAGAATTATTCTTACAAATATGCTCTGGTCTTATCTATGCTCTGCTTGTGAGGTAAAAATAGAGTTTTCTTGATTACCAGATGCTCTCTGCTGATCTATGCTATGGTTGTGAGGGAATGGGATTATCTTCATACTCAGACGCTCTCTTATCTATGCTCTGTCCTATCGGAGAAGGACGTTAAACTAGGAGGTCCTGCCCTTTAAATAACCTAATAGTGTTGATAGGGGCGTTAAACCTATACCATTTCATCATTTTAAAAATCTATGCTAGCTCTGTGATTGCGAGGAAAAAAGGATTATTCAAGCGAAATTACAATAATTTAAAAAAAACATTTTTCACTTTTCGGCTACAGATCTGTTCAGTCGATGACTGACTGATGGGGTAGGGTGCTAGTGAGTTGGCTCCAAAATCTCTTTTAAAAAAAAGTTTTAGTAGAGGTTTTACGGCGCTCGCAACTACATAATATAAATTCATATTAGCGCCAGAAGATTAGAGGTGTTACAAGAGAGTAACAAACAGAAAAAAGAAAAAGGGGAGATAAGGACGATAGATGTTTGATAGAAAAGAAGAAGCGAGCCACACCAGAGCTCCCGCCAACCACCCACCCAAAATCTCTCAAATTTGATTTTAAAAAAAATTGTGTCGTAAAGCGGGGTTGGAAGCATCATTTCAGTAAACAGTGTAAAAATTCCAACAACAAAAAAAAAAAAGCATGAAAAAGATGGACGTGAAATTTGAATTAAAATAGTGTTTGGTAGTTTATCTCAACAGTTCCGGCATCTGTTGGTATTGTGGTAAAGTTCTTCACTGTTGCTCTCAGGACACTCATCGAGTTTAAATCCCGAGTGGGGAGAATTTTTAATCGAATGTCTCGGTCAGTCATTCTCTTTGGATGTCGTATCCCTCTCAGCCCCGGTTTGTCCTGACAGGCAGGGTTGACGCCTGCCTCCTTAATAATGATCTTAGTTGTGTTGATGGGGGCATGAAAACTCCTACGGTACTTTTTAATAAATTTGGAAAAATAAGATTAGAATATATAAGAAACTAAAAATAAAACCCAACCAGTCAACCAGATTTTAACCTCTCCTGTAAAAAAAAGAATCTTTGGAGGTAGGCTGTCTATACTCAAACCTTTTATATGTCAAAAAACAAAGAGTAAAGTAAAAAAGAACCCCCCCAAAAAAAAACAAAAACAAACAAACAACAACCTAAAATGCCAAAAACTGAACAAATACAAAATCTGAGAATGCTTAAAGTAGAAGATGTGCAATGCAAAAGACGACCCCCCCCCCCCTAAATGCTTAGACTGGAAATGAAAAATAGTCTCCTTAAAATGAAACTGGTTAGAGAATTGTACTTATTTTGACTCTTATGTCACTTTCACACACATTCCTACTGTCATTTTGAAACCCTGTTGATTAAAAAGATTAATGTTGATGTCTGTATTAATTGCTATGTTATATATTTGTTATACGCCAGTGCTTCCATAAAAAGATTGTTTTTTATAAAATTATATGCCATGAGGATAATAAAGTTTTATCATTAGATTTGTAGTAGTTTTGCTTTTTAAGCCTATCTGTACGCCCTGGGGTCATTTTTTACCTCCGGGGTTGTATTCTTCACATTTTAGAATACTTCTAGTGCGAAGATCGCTTTGAAACTTTCAGTATTTCTCAAAAAATCATTTTAACAGACTGCTATGCGAAGCGTACAGATCGGATTAATGAGTAAATTTCCTCTTCGGAAAGTGGTGCCACAGAGTTCTCCACGTCGTATACGATAGTAAAACACGACGTACGGATAGGGTTAACATGCACTTCTGTGTTTGCTTTTACGAAATGTAATATTTATTAGGCTTTTGCTTTCTTAAACTATGTGTGTCTGTAGGGGAGAAATTTTTATTGAATATCTCTGCCTTTCTGCTGGGATGTAGGATCCCTCTCAGCCCGGGTTGGCCCTGACAGGTAGTGTTGGAAACTTATCTTTTTAATGATCTAAATTGTGTCAATGAGGATATGAAAACACCTATTTTGGGAAATTTTTAAAAAATGAAACTGTTGAACTGCTGTTGCTTCTGTTGTGGCCGGTGAGACATATTCTGGCAAAGAAAAGTTTTTGCCTCATTATGATTTTGAACATTTCAAAGCTCCACTTCCACGGACAGGGTCACCAATGTGGGAGTGTTAAGGAAAACGTGACAGATCCCAGTCTGAGATGAGGTAGGAAGAAGGCGGTAGCGATGGATTGGACATACTCTCAGGAAGTCAGGCAGCTGCATTACAAAGAAAGTTTTGGATTGGAACCCGCAGGGTAGGAGATCAAGGGGAAGACCGCGTGGAACTTGGAGAAGAATCACAGAAATCAATGTACAGAAAAGTGGGAAGACATGGAATAACATCAAGAGCATCCCAGGATAGAGAAAGGTGGAAGGTGTTTGTCCGTGGCCTATACCCTGGTGCAGGGTGAGAGAGGCAATGATGATGATGACTTCCACTTGTGGATGTGCGCAGCAGCTTGCAGGCTTCTCTCTTGGTTACAGTATTTCTTATTTATTCGTGAAGCCTCATATTATTTGCTGCCCACTGTGACAGCTGCTCTTTAGCGGGGTCTGTCAGGAGCAGATAGAACCCTTTTGATGGCATACCTAGAAGATATGTCGGTGGAATGTTGAATCTTACGCGACCCATGTTGCCCTTAGACAGGGTCTCAACAACTGGCCTCCTACAAATTTAAGCTGTCCCCGCAGTTTTATGCAAAAAAAATTCTTAAATTATGCAAACTGAGCCCAAAAATGTGAAAAGATGCGATTCTATTAATTTTAACAAAGAATGATAAAGGAAAATAATCAGAAATAGTGCAAAAAAATGATCAAATTTTGCAAAATTATACGGGGTGAATAAAACCACGGGGACAGCTCAACAAC